CCCCCCCCACCCTTTGTATGGAAATGTGGACATTCCCCTTTAATAACAAAATGTCAGAGTTAAGACATTTTTAGGGAATTGTTAAAATATTTTGTTATTATAAAAGGTACCAATTATTTGTACATCTCAACATAAAAACCCAACACAACATTGGAAGAAAACTATATATTTTGTCTAATATTTGGTACCTCCCATGCTATTTAGAAATCATAACAGTCCCTTTAGATTTATTAGAAGTATAATGTTCAGGGATAAGGAAGATAGCCTGGGTAAACGGCAGAAACATGGCAAAGTTGCAGTTTTAACTGGAGTTATCTCGAGGTAAATTTTATTAATAATTATAACAGCCTTTTGACCAACATTACCGACCTATGAATCCCCCAACGGAGGGAGGTTAGGTTACTTAACGTCCCTAGGCCTTGGGACAGTGGTGTAAAATAACCACCCGCTTTGGAAAATTTTCCGGGAAAAAATCGTGATTTCCGTCTGTATCACGTGACAATGATACTGCACTGCCATTTGCTGAAGTGCTGGTGACGTAATAGGGACTATTTGTATACGGACTATTTGTAATTATATTATCAATTATCTATTAAAAATGCAAAATAAAAATTTTAAAAATTATAATAGAAGCAAACCTGAGATTCTCAGGCTCCTGTCGGACATGTTCGTTTCCAGATTGGTTGCGTATTTGTTGTAAATGATCTGTTTAATTCTGCAACTTTTATACAAAATGCATTTATATGAATTTTCGTATATATTTGACACAGTTTTTTTTATCAATTCCTGAAAACAGGAACATCAGATAGATGTTTTATATGTATCGTTCAACGCCTGAGATTCTCAGGTTTCATCCTATACCCCCTTTTTCCTTTGCAGTGTTTTTTTTTTTTTACTTTTTTGTCCCAAGGGAGTAAAGTAATGAGAAAAAAATATTAATTGAACATTTTTTTCAGATTTGAGCATCACTGCGGATTCTTTAGGAAGAGAACAAAATAAAATTCCAAAGTTAGAATTTAAAAAAAATGTTCTTTTCATGAAGGTTTGCACACATCTACAACTAGTTAGCAATTAATCTACATTTTACAGTAAAGAAATCAATTTTTATTTTTTCTGTCCATGTAGACCAGATCAAACAGAACACTGGTCCCACCCTGTTCAACATACTATTCACACTAGGGTCTCAACGTAAGAAACATTTTTTATAAAATTTGTTAATGAAAGTTTCGATCATAACATTGCTCTGAAACTTAATACTGTTTCACACGAATCATCATTAAGTTGAGTTATAAATAATTCAAATTTGAGATATCCTTGAAAAAAAAGTTTATGTTTATTTATATCCATTAAAATTCAAGTCAGAGTTGGCTTTTCTTATCATTTTATTAAAACACACATTCGCCTAAAAAAAAGTAACAAAAAAATAAAGAATAACATTTTTCTTTTAATAATGTGATTAAAATTGACAGCTTTCATTGACAAATCCAACCTCAAATCAGTGCCCAATAGCTGGAGCAGTCTAAACATTAGTAAACAGCTTTATAACGATACTAGTAGCTGGAGCAGTCTAAGCTTAAGTAAACAGCTTTATAACGATACTGATGGCTGGAGCAGTCTAAAATTTTGATGGATTTTTTATGTCAATCTGTGCATTTTCCAAAAATACTGATTGTCGGAATTTTTTTGGGCAACATGCGTTCCACTTCAACTGCTAAACCTTCCTTGTGTCAGTTGCCGTAACAATTGATGTCAGAGCATCACATTCAACTATTTTTCTTATTTTTGAACCTTAAGTTAATTCTATAATTTTTTTTGTTAACCAGTTTTTTTTGAAGGGTTTCCCTGCTTTTTATCGGAAATTCAAAATTTTGAAATATTCAATTTTTTATGATTTTAATTTTCATAAAAAATCAGGTTTCATGAATTAAAAGCTTTTTTCGATTTAAAAAAAAAAAAAAAATTTATTTAACATTTTTATGATTTACAAGATAAATCCCTGAAGAAGAAGAAATATAACTCCAAAATCATAATATTTTTTGTTAGCATCATAATCTGTGTGTTCTTGTGACAAGTATAAAAATAGAAATAGAATTTTCTTTGAAAACTGAATTTTCAAGTTGTGAAATTTTCTATTTACAAAGTTTAAAATTAATGATATGGAAAATTTCAATTCTCCAAAAATAAATATATACTGTTTCTCATGAAAAAATAGTTTAAAAGATATTTAGCTAAAAATACTATTTTACTTTGAAAGAGTATTGTGAAAAATATTAGCATACCCTGAATAACAAAGTACATTCTGCATTAAGGGTGTGAAATTTTTCTGAAACAATTTTACAGAAGCAATAAAGTATTCTAATAGAAATATTAAGACATATTATAAAATATATTTTTCACAAAAATCAAAAATGTTCCCCTCAAATGGAGGTTAATAATTAAAAAGTCACTAGAAGAAGTGAAAATGAAAATTTTGAAATACCTATTGAATTGGGTTTCATTGGAATCGAATTGAATTTCTAAATTCAAATCAATTTACAGAATCGAAAAATATTGAAATTTGACTGAGTTTGGTCAAAAAAGACATTTCTTTAGTACTATAATGACATTTTTTCAAAGAAAAAATCTATTTTTGACCATAACTTGCCTAATTTTCAATATTTTTAATTCTGTGAATTGTTTTGAATTCCGGTTTTCAAGCTGGTTCAATAGATGAACATATTATTAACCCTATTCCTGCTGGGGGGGGGGGGGGTCAATTTGACCCCCCCCCGTAGTTTTTTTACATAACTCAAAAAGTATTGGTCTGAGGCTGTTGAAATTTTATGACTTTTCCTACATACCCAAAGCCCTCCCTTTAGGCCTAAAACCGGGCTTTAATACTAACTGCCTGAGTCCTCAGGCCACTGCCTGAATGACTGCTTTTTCCTGTAACAAACTAAATCTTTCTTTTGACCCACTTTTACATGTCAGATTTTGATAAAATTTAGCTTTTTGGAAAGCCTATGACATAAGGAAACAGATTGCACAAATTTTGCGAAAAAAAATTGCTATTTTTTGCAAACAACCTGTCAAAGGAAATTTGCACATTTTTAGTTTTTCTTGATTAAAAATCAGGTTACTTAAAATTTTGCAAAAATTTTTGCATATTTGAAATGGCATGGTCAAGGGCTTTTCAAAAATGTATAATTTTTTATTTTTTGGACAAATTTTTTTTGCAAACATTTTTACTATATAACTTGATTTTGCGATAAAAAATTCAATTTTTGCAAATTTGCAAATTTGTTTGCAGATTCTAAAAGTAGAGCACAAGAGCTTTCCAATGCTGTAAGATTTGTCATATTTGGACATAAAACATGGGATTTAGAGGGGGGGGGTCAAATTGACCCCCCCCAGCGTATCCTGGTTTTCAAGTACCCCAGCAGGGATAGGGTTAAGATTGTCAAATTTTTCATTTTCGCTAACACTAGTGATTTTTTATCATTAAACCCCATTTTTAAATTTCGTGAAAAATGTATTTGATGAACATGCGTTAGAATTCCAAGATTAATACTATTTTGCTTATGTAAAATGATTTTAGACAAGTTTCACTAATTTCACACCCCTATTCTACATGAATCAGAATATTTTCATTTTCATATTTTAAACTGTCATTCAATATCCGTCAAAAATACTGGAACAGACTAAATATACTAAATTATACTAAATTATAATACGAAAAAATGATGAAATTGTAAAGTGGCAGGAAAGCGACATTTAAACACTAAACTTATTAGCAAAACAGTGGTCAAAAGCTTATTGTAATCCAATCATCAAAAATTTTGATATTTTAGAAACTCTGGGAGCTGTTCTGCACCAGCCAAAGCTTCCACACCACCACCACCTCCACCCGTCAGAAATGATGATAATTTTAGTGTTTAAGTTTAAAAACAGATGAATATATTTTCTAAAACAATGCATTTACTATCACATAGAGAGCTTTAACTAGAATTAAGAATAATAATCATTAAAAATCGTTTTCTTGTGTTTTACATGGTTTAAAAGTGACGAAGAGCCATAGAATAAAATTCTTAAAAAATAACCAGCCATGAGTAGTGGTCCGGCATCCTTTATTTGGTATCTTGGGATATATATATTGGGATATATATATTTGGTATATTGAGATATATATATATTTGGTATATTGGGATATATATATTTGGTATATTGGGATATATATATATTTGGTATATTGGGATATATATATATTGGGATATATATATTGGGACATATATATTTGGTATATTGGGATATATATATATTTGGTATATTGGGATATATATATATTTGGTATATTGGGATATATATATTGGGATATATATATCCTAATATATATATTGGGATATATATATTGGGATATATATATATGGATTGACAAACTCTCTGAAATTAGTTGTTAACTTGTTCGAAAATACAAGTATGTTTGTGCACTGTTAAAAATGTTTAACGATAGGGGCAGACAACAAAGCAAATTCTAATTTGATTATATATTTTTGTATTAATAAACATTGTAATTATCAAACCATTAGAGAATAGAACATGCATAACAACTTTCTGGGACAAATTTCTGTGCTCCGCGCCGCACAATTGTACTGCGTCGACGTAGATGTCTCTTATTCTGCAGGGCCCTTACCAGCATCATCTGGTCCTGGAAAATAATAAATAAGATAAAATTTTAGCAATAAAAAAATAAACATTTTAAAAAAATTAAAAATAAAATTTAAAAATTTAAAAATTTGTAAATTTAAACACAATTGTGGGGGAAAATTATCGCAGTTAAATTATATACACATGTTTATTTCTTTGCAGTGAAAAATATTCCCATAAAAGGAAATGATTCATTTGGTGTTGTATCCTTTTTTGTTCAAGCTGGCTACAGGTCAATCCAATATTGAAAATGAACTGGAGTTTACAATAAGTTGTTTACAATAAATAAAAACATAAATTAAATGGATTGATTAAAAAACAAATGCCTGTAGAAATATTTTTAGAATTAAAAAGCTAGTTATAACTTATAAGTGATACATACATGACAACATCTACTTTTTTACTTTACAGAGGTTTGGTCCATCACAATCACCGAATTTTTTTTTTCATTTTGACTATTATCAATTACAGTGAAACCCTTAATAACGAATACATCGAAAGAATTCATCAAATGTCGTATTCTTCACTTTCTGATAATGGAATGTTGCAGATATTTAGTTTTTAATTAAATGATTATATGCAACTCTTTAAAACTGTTCCCGCATATTGATGGCAATTTATTTATTTTCGCAAATACGCAAATTTACGTAATATAGTATAAAACTCATTGAAAAATTGTCAAGACGACATTTGATGAATTCTTCCGATGTATTCGTTATTAGGGGTTTCACTGTATAAAATCTTATGCGGCATTTTTAGATAAAAGAAACTGTGCAAAAAACTGCAAATAATACTCTTTTGGTCAATATTTAAGAGATTCAGACTAAAACATTGTAAAAAAAACTGCAAATAAGAGTTCGTATTGAAAAATGTTTGCACAAACAAACTAACAGTTTTCCAATGGAACAGTTTTCATCTAACATTAATTACAAAATATTTCCTCTGCTTGTGATTGGACATAATTAAAGTTTCTTTTTTAAAACTTTTAAAAACAATTTAACTTTGCAATATTAAACTTTGCAATACTGCTTTCATAAGAGAAATAATAAAGGGAAAACGAAATAACTTTTTGATCTTGGTGCGTTTTTTTCGTTTTTTTATATTTTTCTCCTTTTTAGTGTAAGAAAAACCAATGTGCAAAATTTCAAATTTATCGGCTTTATTATACACGACTCTGATTGGTTGAATTTGATACACTTTACAGAATACAAGTACAAGAAAGGATCAAGCATTGTTCCTGATATCCACCATTCTAAAGTTTTCAGCTTAGAGCTGGGAATTTTTGAATGGGATGTCTTTAATCCCGATCGGTTAACTAATCTGGAGATTAATAACAAAAGGATGACAAGCGTTATTTAATCTCAAGATTAAGAAAAAGAGTGGATCAAGCATTAATCCCGATATCACAAAAAAAATACTTGAACCTTCTTGAGATCATCGGTAAGGTTTGAATGGAAGTATGTGACCCTGTCAGGCTCTTCCTCCTCCTCCTCCTTCTAGAAATCGTTTATGTGAACGAACAAAACTTTTTGTGAATAATGGTGTCTTTCAACTGAATATGAGGATGAACGAACAACTGAGGATGAACGAACAACTTTAATCCTTTAATATTGCTCTTTACCAAAAGTACGATTTTTTTCCGAAATACTTTGAAAAAATTTCATTTTCTTCACTGAACACATTTTTTGCAAACAAAAATAAAAAACTATTTATTTTTATACTGAAAGAAGTAGAACGTTTTTACTAAACAAAGGATTTTACAGAAAAGCTGTTCCGTGAGAAAATAAACGAAAAAGATTGAAAATGAATGATGATTTCGAGAACAAACAACATAATTTTTTTTTAACAATAAAAAAATAACATGATTGGTCGTTCACGAACAAAACTAAAAAAATTTTTTGATCATCTCTACCTCCACCTCCTCCACTACTTGAATGGTATCAAGGTCCTCAATAGCAGTTGGAACCTCACTGATCATTGACAGCTGCAGAGCAAAACCATCATCAGAAGAATCTAAATCTGAATCTTTATCTTCTTCTTCGTCAGCTGTGATGTTAATAACAGTTTTCTTTTTATTGTTCTCACTTTCCTCTGCTCTGATAAACTCTACCAGTTCCTGAAATATAGTTTTATCAAAAAAAAATGTTTCATGTTTTTATTTGAACTCTAAAGGATAAGACTGTAAAGACGACCGAAGCTCTTTAAATGTCAAAATTCTGTGGATAAATTCTTGAATAAAATCTTTTTTGGCTTACTTGAGGATATGGAAAAAACAGAAACAATTTTATAGTTGCAGGATATCATAGATTTAATTAAGGAAACAGTAAAATTTTGTACAATCATCTTTGACGTCTTATCCTTTGTGGGTTACCCTGTACCCTTCATCTCAAGTTTACAAATAAGGCATTTTTGGAAAGCTCTTCAGACTCTTTTTAGAATGGGCAATTAATGTTTGGATCTTAAAAGTTGTAGAAAACATGAAATAGTTTATATTTCTAAAAAGTCATTGTCTATTTCATTTAAAAAGTGCAAGAAAATGTTCACATCATTTTTAAAACCCTTGTTTGTAATGAAAGAAAAAAGAACAACTTAACTTCACACCAATACTTATAATATTTATAATACTACAGTCGTTGACGTTTATTTGAGTACAATGAAGACGACTATCATTTCAATTTTGATGTAGGCTAAGCTTTCAAACAGTTTGGGTGCACATAAAAAAATTAAAAGAGAAGCTGTCAATCAACAGATTCTTTTAATTTTTAACCTTAATTCCCCCCCCTCTCCCCTCCCCTCTCCAGCAGGAATATGGTTCAATTAGATTTTGAATATTCCTTACCTCTAACTCTACAGGATCCAGAATCTTTTGTCTCTCTAGAAAATTAAATAGTTTAAAATATTTTTAAGGATTCATTTTCTTGTCTTTCATTTTTCATGAAGTTGAAGAAATTGTTGAAGGGATTTTAAGGCCATCCATAATTAACAACAACACACTTTACAATGTATTTTTTATTTTACAGGGTTACACAGAGAGTATAAGACTTTAATGACATGCTGAGACTATTCAAATATGACAATCTGAAGGATGTTTTAATGTCTAGTGATTTTTCAAAGAAATACACATGTTACTATGAATTTTTTGAAGAGGGAAAACATTTCATACATTCGTCTCTGAAATCTCATCTTTTGTGAATATAAGAATCATGAACATAGAATTATGTTAATTTGGTTAAATTTCCTCTCATCTTAAAACATACCCAGTCCTAGAGGTAAAACCAGTCATAGTTGAACACCAAAAAGAAAGAAAATCCAAAAAAAGAGAATTTAAAGAATTTTTTACCAGTTGTAGTTCTAGCAGCATACTCTTCAGGATCAATGGGTGTTATCATTCTTCTCTCTAATTTAGTTCTCCCCTGAAAAGGATATATCTGATATAAATGCTTATATGAAAAATTTGACAGTAAAAAATTAAACTTAGAGTAAAAAGTAACAAGGACTAAAATGGTTAGGATTGGATTAAACACCACATACCTATCAACACTTCTATGTTTCAGTTTGACAGCTCATTGCTTATGATTTTTACTCTTTTTAATACTTTTGACTCAAAAAATCCTTTAAAATATTTCTAAACTCTAGGAAAATATATAACTTCAAAAAAGGAGTGTAAACAAAAATGGTGTTTAAAGAAAATTGTACCCCTTTCTCATTATCCTCATCCATCTCTCCATCTATCTCTTTGCTGATGATGTCAGCTATGCTGGCAAGAGTGTGCATCATATCCAATGATTCAACATAACTGAAAAGTACAGATGGTTGTTTAAAGAATTACTGCTTTTTCAGAAAGGGATGATTTTATATAATCTTTTGGAAAACAAGAAAAATTGTACAAATTATTCATTTAGAAATGATTCCTTTTACTTGAAAAAACGACAAACAAAATTTCAATGTTTACTGGTGTTTACAAATGAGCCACAAAAAAAGTAATTGAAATTTTCCATTTTCTATTTAAACTAAAACTTTCAAAGTAATTGTAAAATTTTTGAAAGCGGTTTCTTCAATGCACAACTAATTAGCAGTCAAGAAGTTGTTTTTCTTTTTTGAAAGGGAAAATATAGATTGAAAAACATGGATATCTTGTCACTTTTGCCAAACAAAACTTTTAAAGGCTTCTTCAGTCAATTTTCAAATATATGAGTATTATTTGATCTATCCTAAGATTGATAAAAGATCGGCAACAAATAGATATAAATCAAAACTTGTAAGTTTGTAAGGATTGGAATTTTTCTAAATTGCTATTATTTTCAAAACTCTGTGGAATAGGAAAATGACTGTTAGACTAAAATTATGGTATTAAATAGCCCAAAGGACCAAACATCAGAGAAAATGTGCAATGCGACCAGAACCATGTGAATTAATAAGTTGATTTCCAATTTTATATTCAAACAAAATAAAATATACACAAAATATTGATCTAACGTTGCCTTCCCTTTCCGCAGTTTAACATATCTCACTGTACATACCTAGTTTCACCATCACAGCTGGATTTTCTGGAATCAACGAAAGTTGTTTGATAAAATGATCCGCGCCTCTCCTTCTGCTTAAACTTCTTCATCATATCCTCCTCTGAGGTAATGTGATTTATCTGGGAATCATCTTTGCTCTCCTTGAACGCAAATAGAGAATTCCAAGCCTGAATATCCTCCGCAAGACAAGCAGTCCAATCATTCGTCTCTGAAACCTTGGATGTCACCGGAGACATATCAGTTGGTAAAGCTGGGAGGAAGGATACTTTTTCCATTCCACCAATCTCAAACAACCGGATACCAACCAACTTAGAGGACTTTTCCTTTTCAATTTCCAGAGATCCATTCTTTTCTTCCTTTGCATCTTTTGACACTTCTTCTTCCTTTGTCAGGACTTCAATAGAATCCTTTGCATCTTCATAAACTTCAATAGAATCAATTGCATCCTCAAACACTTCAGTAGTTTCATTTTCTAGTTCTTCTATAGATTCCTTTTTATCCCCTCGTACCTGAATCAATTTAAGTTCATCTTTTAGTACTTTTACATTTATATTTATATCACTTATCATTTCCATGGCATTATTTTCATTTTCTATTACACCCATAGATATCTTTGCATCTTCCAGTACTTCAATAGATTTTTTTGTATCTTTTTTTACTTCCATAGATTCCTTTGCATCTTCTATTATTTCCATAGATTCTTTTGCATCTTCTATTATTTCCTCAGATTCCTTTTCATCTTTTATTACTATTTCAGATTCCTTTGCATCTTTTATTACTTCCATAGATTCCTTTGCATCTTCTATTTCTTCCATAGATTCCTTTGCATCTTCTATTACTTCCATCATAGACTTCTTTCTATCGTCTAGGACTTCCATAGATTCTGTTGTATATTTTTGTTCTTTTATAAACTTCTTTTCATCTTCCAGTATTTCTAAAGATTCCTTGGCATCTGCTTGTATTTTCGTAGGTTCCATTGGATCTTCTAGTTCTCTTGTTGATCCCTTTGTATTTTCTGGTAATTCTATGGATTTCTTTGTATCTTCTATTACTTTCATTATTTCCTGTGTTTCTTCTGATACTTTGATGGATTTCTTCATATCATCTGGTGTTTCTATTATAGTGTCCTTTGCATTCTTTTCCATAGGTTCCTTTGTAACTACTTGAGCGTTCATAAATTCCTTTGTATCTTCTAGAACTTCCATAGATTCCTTGGCATCTTTCAAAGATTCTTTTGTATTTTCTAGCACTTCCATAGATTCATTTGTATCTTCTAATATTTCCACAGATTCCTTTGCATCTTCTAGTACTTCCATAGATTCCTTTGCATCTTCTTGAACTTCCATAGATTCCTTGGAATATTCTTTACTTTCTATGTAATTCTTTGAATCTTCTTGCACTTCAATAGATTCTTTTTTATCTATTTCCATAGATTCCTTTGCATCTTCTACTTTTTCTTTATATTCCTTTCCATTATCTATTACTTCCATAGATACTTTTTTGAGTACTAATTCTTCATCAGATTTCTTTGCCCCTCTTTGAAAATCAAAGTCTTCATTTACATAATCTGGTCCTCGTGTAGTCATAACAGTATCCAAGGTCTGTGAACCCTTTGGTTCATTTCCATTTGTTTTCAAATCTTCTGAAACTGCAACATATTCTGATCCGATGTCTGGCAGATAAATAGATGCTCTTGCATTTTCTACTTCTTTAGTTACTCCCACTAAAATGTTTACTGTATTAATAAACTCATTTGAAACTCTTAGTTCTTCGGAAGATTCCATTGTTTCTTTCAGTGAATCTTTGTGTTCCCTTAAATCTACTGGCACATCACATGACTCTAGTTTTGAAATATGTTTTTCCCAGGATACAATTTCACCTTCTAGTACATGTTCAGATTTTCTTGAAACTAAATCATCTAAACGTTCCTTAATAATTTCAAGTTCATCTAAAGATTTCTTAGCAATTTCAAATACATCTGTAGATTCATTTACATCTTTATGTACTTCTGAAGATTTCTTGGTGTCTTTAAGTACATCTGTAGATTCCATGGCCTCTTCAAGTACATCTGAAGATTTGGTGGTGTCTTTAATTACACCTGTAGATTCCATGGTGTCTTCAAGTACATCTGAAGACTTCTTGGTGTCTTTAAGTACATCTGTAGATTCCATAGTGTCTTCAAGTACATCTATAGGTTCCCTGGTGTCTTCAAGTACATCTGAAGATTCCGTGGTGTCTTCAAGTACATCTGCAGATTCATTTACATCTTCATGTACATCTGAAGACTTCTTGGTGTCTTTAAGAACATCTGTAGATTCCAAAATGTCTTCAAGTACATCTGAAGACTTCTTTGTTTCTTTAAGTACATCTGTAGATTTTGTGGTGTTTTCAAGTAAATCTGAAGATTTCTTGATGTGTTTAATAACAACTGAAGATTCCTTGTTGTCTTCAAGAACATCTGCAGATGTCTTAAAGTCTTCAAGTGAATCTGGAGATTCATTGGCCTTGGTGTCTCCCTGCTTATCTAGAGATCCCAAAGTGTTTTTAAGTACATTTGTAGATTTTTTGGCTTCTTCAATAGCATTTGTTGCATCTATGGTGTCTTTCAGAACATCTGTTGATTCCTTGGTGTCTTTAAGAACAAATAGAGATTTCTTGGTGTATTCAAGATCATCTGAAGATTCCTTGGTATCCTCAAGTACATCTAAAGATACCTTGGTGTATTCAAGAACATCTTTGTTCTCCTCCTCCTCAACTTTGTCTTCCTCCTGTTCAACTTTGGTCTCCTCCTCCTGAACTTTGTTCTCCTCCTGTTCATCTCTGATCATTTTCTCCTCAACTTGTTTCTCCTTCTGTTCAAATTTGCTCTTCTCCTGTTCAACTTTGTTCTCCTCCTCCTCAACTTTGTCATCCTCCTGTTTAACTTTGTTCTCCTCCTCCTCGACTTTGTCATCCTCCTGTTCAACTTTGTTTTCCTCCTGTTCAACATTGTCCTCCTTCTGTTCAACTTTGTTCTTCTTCTGTTCAACTTTGCTCTCCTCCTGTTCAACTGTGTTCTTCTCCTGTTCAACTGTGTTCTCCATCTGTTCAACTATGTTCTCCTCCTGTTCAGATGTGTTCTCCACCTGTTCAACTTTGTTATCCTCCTGTTCAACTTTTTTCCCCAACTGATCAATTTTTTCCTCTTCCTTTTCAAATTTGTTCTTCTCCTGATCAACTTTTTTCTCCTCCTGTTCAACTGTGTTCTTCTCCTGTTCAACTTTTTTCTCCTCCTGTTCAATTGTAATCTTCACCTGTTCAACTTTGTTCTCCTCCTGTTCTAATGTGTTTTCCACCTGTTCAACTTTGCTCTCCTCCTGTTCATTTGTGTTCTCCTCCTCCTCAATTTTTTCCTCTTCCTTTTCAACTTTATTCTTCTCCTGATCAACTGTGTTTTCCTCCTGTCCAACTGTGTTTTCCTCCTGTTCAACTGTGTTCTTCACCAGTTCAAATTTGTTCTCCTCCTGTTTAACTGTGTTTTCCACCTGTTCAACTTTATTCTCCTCTTGTTCAACTGTGTTCTCCACCAGTTCAACTTTGTTCTCCTTCTGTTCAACTTTTCTCTCTACCTGTTCAACTTTGTTCTCCTTCAGTTCAACTTTGTTCTCCTCCTGTTCATCTGTGTTCTCCACCTGCTCAACTGTGTTTTCCACCTGCTCAACTGATTTCTCCTCTTTTTCAACTTTATTCTCCTCCAGTTCAAATGTGTTTTCCACTTGTTCAACTTTGTTCTTCTCCTGTTCAACAGTGTTTTCCACCTGTTCAACTTTGTTCTCTTCCTGTTCAACTGTATTCTCCTCCTGTTCAACTTTGTTCTCCTCCTGTTCAACTGTGTTCTCCACGTTTTCAACTTTGTTCTCCTCCTGTTTAACTGTGTTTCCCTCCAGTTCAACTGTGTTTTCCACCTGTTCAACTATGCTCTCCTCCTTTTCGACTGTGTTCTCCTCCTGGTCAACTGTGTTCTCCACCTGTTCAACTTTGTATTTCTCCTGTTCAACTGTGTTTTCCACCTGTTTAACTTTGCTTTCCTCCTGTTCAATTGTGTTCTCCTCTTTTTCAACTTTTTTCTCCTTCTGTTCAACTGTGTTCGCCACCTGTTCAACTTTGTTTTCCTCCTGTTCAACTGTGTTTTCCTCCAGTTCTACTGTGATCTCCACCTGTTCAACTTTGTTCTCCTCCTGCTCATCTGTTTTCTCCACCTGTTCAACATTGTTCTCCTCCTTTTCAACTTTGTTCTTCTTCTGTTCAACATCGTTCTCCTCCTGTTCAACTGTGTTCACCACCTGTTCAACTTTGTTCTCCTCCTGTTCAACTGTGTTCTCCACCTGTTCAACTTTGTTCTCGTCCTGTTCAACTTTGTTCTCCTTCTTTTCAACTGTGTTCACCACGTGTTCAACTGTGTTCTCCTCCTGTTCAACTTTGTTCTCCTCCTGTTCAACTGTGTTTACCACATATTCAACTGTGTTCTCCACCTTTTCAACTTTGTTCTCCTCCTGTTCAAATGTTTTCTCCTCTTTTTCAAGTTTATTCTCCTCTTGTTCAACTGTGTTCTTCAACAGTTTAACTTTGTTCTCCTCCTGTTCCAATATGTTCTCAACCTGTTCAACTTTTTTCTCCTCCTGTTTAACTGTGATCTCCACCTGTTCAACTTTGTTCTCCTCCTGTTCAACTTTGTTCTCCGCTTGTTCAATTGTGTTCTTCTCCTGTTCAACTGTGTTCTCCACCTGTTTAACTGTGTTCTTCACCTGTTTAACTTTGTTCTCCTCCTGTTCAACTTTGTTCTCCTCCTGTTCAACTTTGCTTTCCTCCTGTTCAACTGTGTTCTCCTCTTTTTCAACTTTATTCTCCTCTTGTTCAACTTTGTTTTCCTCCTGTTCAATGGGGTTCTCCTCTTTTTCAACTTTGTTCTCCTTCTTTTCAAATGTGTTTACCACATGTTCAACTTTGTTCACCTCCTGTTCAACTGTGTTCGCCACCTGTTCAACTTTGTCCTCCTCCTGTTCAACTGTGTTCTCCTCCAGTTCAACTGTGATCTCCACCTGTTCAACTTTGTTCTCCTCCTGTTCAACATTGTTCTCCTCCTTTTCAACTTTGTTCTCCTTCTTTTCAACTGTGTTCACTACATGTTCAACTTTGTTCTCCTCCTGTTCAACTTTGTTCTCCTCCTGTTCAAATGTGTTCTCTTCCTGTTCAACTTTGATATCCACCTCTTCAGCTGTGTTCTCCTTTTGTGCAATGGTGTTCTCCACCTGTTCAACTTTGTTCTCCTCCTGTTCAACTGTGTTCTCCCCCTGTTCGACATTGTTCTCCTCCTGTTCAAATTTGTTCTCCTCCTGTTCAACTTTTTTCTCGTCCCATTCAACTGTGATCTCCACCTGTTTAACTTTGTTTTTCTCCTGTTCAACTTTTTTCACCTCCTGTTCAAATGTGTTCTCCTGTTCAAATTTGTTATCCTCCTGTTCAACGTTTTTCTCCACCTGATCAATTTTTTCCTCTTCCTTTTCAAATTTGATCTTCTCCTCATCAACTTTTTTCTCCTCCTGTTCAATAGTGTTCTTCTCCTGTTCAACTTTTTTCTCCTCCTGTTCAATTGTGTTCTTCACCTTTTCAACTTTGTTCTCCTCCTGTTCAACTGTATTCTCCACCTGTTCAGCTTTGGTCTCCTGTTCAACTGTGTTCTCCACGTTTTCAACTTCCTTTTGAACTTTATTCTTCTCCTGATCAACTGTGTTTTCCTCCTGTCCAACTGTGTTCTCAGCCGGTTCATCTGTGTTCTTCACCTGTTCAACATTGTTCTCCTCCTGTTTAACTGTGTTTTCTACCTGTTCAACTTTATTCTCCTCTTGTTCAACTGTGTTCTCCTTCTGTTCAACTTTGTTCTCCTTCTGTTCAACTTTTCTCTCCACCTGTTCAACTATGTTCTCCACCTGCTCAACTGTGTTTCTCACCTGCTCAACTGCGTTCTCCTCTTTTTCAACTTTATTCTCCTCCAGTTCAACTGTGTTTACCACCTGTTCAACTTTGCTCTCCTCCTGTTCAACTGTGTTCTCCACCTGTTCAACTTTGTTCTCGTCCTGTTCAACTTTGTTCACCTTCTTTTCAACTGTTTTCACCACATGTTCAACTGTGTTCTCCTCCTGTTGAACTTTGTTCTCCTCCTGTTCAACTGTGTTCACCACATATTCAACTGTGTTCTCCACCTGTTCAACTTTGTTCTCCTCTTGTTCAAATGTTTTCTCCTCTTTTTCAAGTTTATTTTCCTCTTGTTCAACTGTGTTCTCTTTCAGTTTAACTTTGTTCTCCTCCTGTTCCACTGTGTTCTCCACCTGTTCAACTTTGTTCTCCTCCTGTTCATCTTTGTTCTCCGCTTGTTCAATTGTGTTCTTCTCCTGTTCAACTGTGTTCTCCACCTGTTCAACTTTGTTCTTCTCCTGTTCATCTGTGTTCGCCACCTGTTCAACTTTTTTCTCCTCCTGTTCAACTGTGTTCTCCTCCTGTTCAACTGTGATCTCCATCTGTTCAACTTTGTTTTCCTCCTGTTCAACATTGTTCTTCTCCTTTTCAACTTTGTTCACCACATGTTCCACTTTGTTCTCCTCCTGTTCAACTGTGTTCTCTTCCTGTTCAACTTTGTTCTCCTCCTGTTCGACATTGTTCTTCTCCTTTTCAACTTTGTTCTCCTTCTTTTCAACTGTGTTCACCGCATGTTCAACTTTGTTCACCTCCTGTTCAACTGTGTTCGCCACCTGTTCAACTTTGTTCTCCTCCTGTTTAACTGTGTTTTCCTCCTGTTCAACTGTGATCTCCACCTGTTCAACTTTGTTCTCCTCCTGTTCAACATTGTTATTCTCCTTTTCAACTTTGTTCTCCTTCTTTTCAACTGTGTTCACCACATGTTCAACTTTGTTCTCCTCCTGTTCAACTGTTTTCTCTTCCTGTTCAACTTTGTTCTCCTCCTGTTCAAATTTGATCTCCTCCTGTTCAACTTTGTTTTCCTCCTGTTCAACTTTGTTTTCCACCTGCTGAACTTTGTTCTCCTCCTGTTTAACTGTTTTCCCCACCTGCTCAAATTTGTTCTCTTCCTGTTCAACTGTGTTCTTCTCTTTTACAACTTTGCTCTCCTCCTGTTCAACTTTATTCTCCACCTGTTCAACTTTGTTCTCCTCCTGTTCAACATTGTTCTTCTCCTTTTCAACCTTGTTCTTCTCCTGTTCAGCTGTGTTCTCCTCTTGTTCAACTTTTTTCTCCACCTCTTCAACTTTGTTCTCCTGCTGTTCAACTGTGTTCTCCAACTGTTCAACTTTGTTCTCTTCCTGTTCAACTTTGTACTCCTCCTGTTCTACTTTGTTCTCCTCCTGTTTAACTGTGTTCTCCGCCTGTTCAACTGTGTTATATGCCTGTTCAACTGTGTTCTCCACCTGTTCAACTGTGTTATATGCCTGTTCAACTGTGTTCTCCACCTGTTGAACTGTGTTCTCCACCTGTTCAACTGTAATCTCTACCTCTTTAACTTTGTTCTCGATCTCTTCAACAGTGTTATTCTCTTTTTCAACTTCATTCTCCTCTTCTTCAACTGTGTTCTTCACCTGTTCGACTATGTTCTCCAACTGTTCAACTGTGTTCTTCAATTGTTCAACTTTGTTCACCTCCTGTTCAACTGTGTTCTCCTCCTGTTCAACTGTGATCTCCATCTGTTCAACTTTGTTATCCTCCTGTTCAACTGTGTTTTCCAACTGTTCAACTTTGTTCTCCTCCTGTTCAACTGTGTTTTCCTCCTGTTTAACTGTGTTCTCCTCCTGTTCAACTTTGTTTTCCTTCTGATCAATTGTGTTCGCCTCCTGTTTAACTGTGTTCTCCAACTGTTCAACTTTGTTCTCTTCCTGTTCAACTGTGTTCTCCAACTGTTCAATTGTGTTCTCCAATTGTTCAACTTTGTTCACCTCCTGTTCAACTGTGTTCTCCTCCTGTTCAACTGTGATCTCCATCTGTTCAACTTTGTTATCCTCTTGTTCAACTGTGTTTTCCAACTGTTCAACTTTGTTCTCCTCCTGTTCAACTGTGTTCTCCTCCTGTTTAACTGTGTTCTCCTCCTGTTCAACTTTGTTCTCCTTCTGATCAATTGTGTTCGCCTCCTGTTCAACTGTGTTCTCCACCTGTTCAAATTTGTTCTCCTCCTGTTCAACTTTCTTCTCGTCCTGTACAACTGTGTTCTCCACCCGTTCAACTATGTTTTTCTCCTGTTTAACTTTGTTCTCCTCCTGTTCAAATTTGTTCTCCTCCCGTACAAATTTGTTCTCCACCTGTTGAACTTTGTTCCCCTCCTGTTTCACTGTGTTTTCCACCTGTTCAACTGTGTTCTTCTCCTGTTCAACTTTGTTCTCCTTCTGATCTACTGTGTTCTCCACCTGTTCAACTTTGTTCTCATCCTGTTTAACAGTGATCTCCTCCTGTTCAACTGTGTTCTCCACCTTATCAATTTTGTTCTCCTCCTGTTCAACTGTGTTCTCCTCCTTTTCAACCGTTTTCTCCACCTGTTCAACTTTCTTCTCCTCCTGTGTAACTGTGTTCTCCACATTTTCAACTTTGTTTTCCTCCTGTTCAACTTTGTTTTCCTCCTGTTCAACTGTGTTTTCCACCTTTTCAACTTTGTTCTCCTCTTGTTCAATTTTTTTCTCCTCCTGCTCAACTTTGTTCTCCTCCTGATCAACTTTGTTCTCCTCCTGTTCAACTGTGTTTTCCTCCTGTTTAACTGTGTTTTCCACCTGTTCAACTTTGTTCTCCTCATGTTTAACTGTTTTCTCCACCTTCTCAACTTCGGTATCCTGCTGTTCAACTGTGTTCTCCTCCTCTTCAACTTTGTTCTCCTCCTGTTCAACTGTGTTCTCTTCCTGTTCAATTGTGTTCTCCTCTTTTTCAACTTTATTTTTCTCCAGTTCAACAGTGTTCTCCTCCTGTTCAACTCTGTTTTCCTCTTTTTCAACTTTTTTCTCCTCCTGTTTAATTGTGTTCTCTACCTGCTCAACTTTGTTCTCCTCCTGTTCAATTGAATTCTCTACCTGTTTAATTTCGTTCTCCACCTGTTCAACTTTGTTCTCTTCCTGTTTAACTGTGTTCTCCTCCTGTTCGACTTTTTTCTCCTTCTGTTCAACTGTGTTCTCCACCTGTTCAACTTTGTTCTCTTCCTGTTCAACTGTGTTCTCGTCCTGTTCAACTGTGCTCTCCACCTGTTCGACTTTTTTCTTCTTCTGTTCAACTGTGCTCTCCACCTGTTCAATTTTGTTCTCCTCCTGTTTAACTGTGTTCTCCTTTTTTTCAACTTTGTTCTTCTCCTGTTCAACTTTGTTCTCCTCCTGTTCAACTTTTTTCTTCTCTGGTTCAACTTTGTTCTCCTCCTGTTCAACTGTGGTCTCCACCTGTTCAACTTTGTTTTCCTCCTGCTCAACTTTGTTTTCCTCCTGTTCAACTTTGTTCTCCTCCTGTTCAACTGTGTTCTTGACATGTTCAACTTTGTTCTCCTCCTGTTCAACTGTGTTCTCCTCTTGTTCAACTTTATTCTCCACCTGTTCAACTTTGTTCTCCTCCTGTTCGACTGTATTCTCTTCTTTTTCCACTTTATTTTTCTCCTGTTCAACTGTGTTCTCCACCTGTTCAACTTTGTTCTCCTCCTTTTCAGCTGTGTTTTCCTCTTGTTCAACTTTATTCTCCTCCTGTTTATCTGTGTTCGCCTCCTGTTCAACTTTGTTCTCCTCCTGTTCAACTTTGTTCTCAACTTGTTCAACTTTGTTCACCTCCTGTTCGACTGTATTCTCCTCCTGTTTAACTGTGTTCTCCTCCTGTGCAACTTTTTTCTCCACCTGTTTAACTTTTTTCTCCTCTGGTTCAACTGTGTTCTCCTCCTGTTCAACTGTGTTCTCCTCCTGTTTAACTGTGTTCTCCTCCTGTTCAACTGTGTTCTCCTCCTTTTCAATCTTGTTCTTCTCCTTTTCAACTGTGTTCTCCTCCTTTTCAACTGTGTTTTTTTCCTTTTTAACCGTATTCTCCTCCTGTGCAACTGTGTTCTTTATCTGTTCAACTGTGTTCTCCACCTGTTCAACTTTTTTATCAACCTGTTTCTCCATTTGTTCAACTTTGTTCTCCTTCTGTTCATCTGTGTTCTCCACCTGTTCAACTTTGTTATCCTTCTGTTCAATCTTGTTCTTCTCCTCTTCAACTGTGTTTTCCATCTGTTCAACTGTGTTCTCCACCTGCTCATATTTGTTCTCCTCCTGTTCAACTGTGTTCTCCATCTGTTCAATTTTGTTCTCCTTCTGTTTAACTGTTTTCTCGAACTGTTCAACTTTGTTTTCCTTCTGTTCATCTGTGTTTTCCTCTTTTTCAGCTTTATTCTTCTCCTCCTCCTTAACTTTGTTATCTTTCTCCTCTTCCTTAACTTTGTTTCCCATATATACATATGTGATTTTCTCCTGTTTAATATTGTTCTCCTCCTTTCCATTTATTTTCTTTACATTTTCATTGTCGTTTTTCTCCTTATCAACCTTATTCTTCTGATTTTCTTTATTTATCTCCTGATCTTTCCTATCATGTTTATTTGTGTTCCCTACTTGTTCTTCTTTCAGTTTTTCCAAGTTTTCCTCCTGGTCACTCTCCAAGTCAGTTTTGTCCTGCTGTTTCTGGTTACTCCTGATTTTATCATCGTCCTTGTCCTTCTTTTGCTCATCAATGTTCTTCTTCTGTCCTTTCCAGTCCTCTTCTTGATTACCCTGGCACTTTGTTAGGTCCATTTTGTCCTGCTGTTCCTGGGTGTCCTTCATTTTAACATCGTCTTTGACATTCCTCTGCTCGTCAATATTCTCTTTCTGTCCAACTTGGCCGTTTTCCTTCTCTTTCTGTCCAACCTGGCAGTTTTCCTTCTCTTTCTTTGCAACCTGGCGATTTTTCTTCTTTTTCTTTCCAACCTGGCGGTTTTCCTTTTCTTTTTGTCCAACTTGGCCTTTTTCCTTCTTTTTCTCTCCAACCTGGCCGTTTTCCTTCTCTTTCTCTCCAACCTGGCCGTTTTCCTTCTCTTTCTCTCCAACCTGGCCGTTTTCCTTCTCTTTCTGTCCAACCTGGCCGTTTTCCTTCTCTTTCTCTCCAACCTGGCAGTTTTCATTTTCTTTCTGTCCAACCTGGCGGTTTTCCTTCTCCTTCTGTCCATTTTCCTTTTCTTTAACCTCGGTTTTGATAGGTTTTCTCCTCTTTTCCTTTTCCATGTTGTTCCTTAGAAATTTTTTTCTAAACTTTTTTGAGTTTCCATTTAATGTTCTCGTTGTTTGAATTAAGCTTGTCCTGTAAAAGGAAGAACAAATGAAATGTGTATAATTTCGATTTTTAAGATTAGTAGAGTTAGAAATTCATAAATGAGTGGTAAGTATTTAAATGAGATATGATCATTTACTTGATCAGTAATGTTTTAGAAATGTCCTTAAAGGTTAATCCAGTAATCAAGTTTCAAATTCCAAATATATGAAATGTGTTTTATTAAACTTGAAATCTAAAATTAAGATTTTATAAAGACATTGAGTCTTTGCCGCAATCTCTGATTTTCTAATGCCTATATCTTTGCAAGCCAATGTTGTACACCATTGATCTTTCAAACTGTGAATTCTGTCAGATCAAATAATCTAAGTTTCAAATATCAAAGGTTTACGTCATCAGGTTGCAAAATTTTAGGCATTAGAAAATCTTTAGTTTGAGGTAAAAACTCAATTCCTTTGACTGAAATAATTGAAAATATTAGAATTATATGTTTCTTTCCTATGCCTCTATAAAACAAATTTAAATTCTCTTGCTGTCTTCAAAACCTAAAGAAATTGAGTCTTTGCCACAAACTCTGCTTTCCTAAACCTTATATCTTTAGATTCCTATGTCGTAGACCTTAAATATTTAAAACTATTAATTCTGTTAGATCAAATAATATAAGTTTAAAATATCAAAGATTTACGACATTGGGTTCCAAAGATTTGGGGATTATAAATTCAGAGTTTGTTGCAAAGACTCAATTCCTTTATCAAAAAATTTATATTTTTTAGTTATTACAATATTTTCACTACAACACCATATAGACGTTTGCCTGAAGAAAAACAAATGAATTGCTGTAGAATCCGAATTGTGTTCTCAATTATATTTCGATGTCTTTTTTATATCATAATCAGTTCTAGGATAGATTTTGCCAATAAATAATAAAGATATTGAATCATTGCAATTGTTACAAAATTTGTTAAATTCAGGAGATCTTTGTTCCAAAACTAACACTTGGCCCATTTCCAACACTGAGTGCTAGAAATGGGCCAAGATATCTGCAAAGTTATCTTGGCCCATTTCCAACACCGAGTGCTAGAAATGGGCCAAGATATCTGCAAAGTTATCTTGGCCCATTTCCAACACCGAGTGCTAGAAATGGGCCAAGATATCTGCAAAGTTATCTTGGCCCATTTCCAACACTGAGTGCTAGAAATGGGCCAAGATATCTGCAAAGACATCTTTAAATCCAAGACGAGTAAAACAAAATTACACCGCACTTGCGTAACAAAACAAGATTTTTTGATAAGGTAAAATATAAACAAAATAGAAAACAAAAACAAACTGTTCTTTTATAATTTAAAAATCGTAATAGCACTGAGAAATAAAAAAAAATAATAGCATTTGTCCCTACAATATAGATTTTATTAGAAATGCGAGAAACTGTTTGTTAAAAATGCTTGAAAATAAATCATCGATATTCTTTAATTTAACAGATTAAATGTGGAAACTTAGATTATAGAAATAATTCAGAAGTTAATTTAGCATTCATAGGATAATTTTTGTTTTCAATGATTTATTTTGTAAATTATGAAAGTGAGTTTTGCTTTGAATATTGGATTATACTCAAAAACAGGAAAGTAGGGTTTGTCTCGAAAACGCGACAATGATTCAAATTCAAGATATGTTCCAAAATGGAAAACCTAAGATTGTCTTGAAAACGGTCAAGAGCTTGAATATAAAAAGAACTCCTGTTATTTAGGAATTAGGAACTGTTGTCCTCGTCAAGTTTAATAAAATGTTAGTTATAGTTTTTATTATTGACTTTTACTCTGGATATGCCCATGGGCCGGGATCCCAAAAACCCAGTCTTCCAATTTGTGCCCATTTCTAACACTCAGTGTTAGAAATGGGCCAAGTGCTAGTTTTGGAACTAATATCCCCTGAAATTAAATCCTTTCTAAAAATAAATTTAAAATGAATTAATATCTTTCAAACCAGAATACCGACCATATTTCCTATGTTGTTAATTTAATCAAGGGCTAATAGGTACAAAATCAATATGCCTTTAGTCTATGTAAAAAAAGTATAAGCTTAGTACATTAGGATTTCTAGAACGGTGGTTTTAATGACGACAGTTTCAACATTCTGTATCTCCTGTTTGTGTACAGCAAAGAGTTTTAACAGTTGTGATAAAATCTACTTATTAATTGAAATGTGTTGTTTCTACTACACAATTGCTTTGCTAATGTTTATTGGACTGTTTAAAGCCATAAAGTAAGTTTAACAATCGTCTTCCTATTCCACAGTTTTATAACTCCCACTGTACAAGACTTTTTTAAAATGGATGTAGTACCAAATTTTGTTTCAAACACTCACTTTAATCTTTCTGTCTTGCCTTTAATCAGATTAAGCAGCAACTGGCGATAAAACTGAAAACACTTTGTAGTCTAAATTTATTGTGTTCTTAAAAAAAAAGAATTATTTATTTTTTTATTTTTTTATTAATCATTTTCATTTCTGTCATGATGCCACTTTTTTGGAGAACTATATACCCCTGATTTAATTATCAAATTTACATTTGATAAAAGTGTTCAAAAGTTCTGTATCAATTTTTTCTTACCATCAAAATTGTTCCATAACTTTATATCTTTTATTTTTATGTTTTAAAATTATATAATGCTTTGGTTATCCAGTGATCCTGAATCTAGACCTAAACTTAATCCCGAGTCAAGCCCTTGCCCTAAACCTGAATTAAGCTTTGATTATGATTCTGAACCTACTTTTGAACCTGAACCTGATTCTGAACCTGAACATAAACATAAACCTGAACCTGATTATGACCTGAACATCCTGATCATGAACCTGAACCTGAACCTGAACTTAAACCTGAACCTGAACCTGATCATGAACCAAACCCTGAACATGAATGAACCTGAACCTGAACCTGAACCTGAACCTGAACCTGAACCTGAACTTTGAACTTTGAACCCAAACCTGGACCTGAACCTAACCCTGAACTTAAACATGAACCTGAACCTGAACCTGAACCTGACAAGTCTAAAGCTGAATCAAAGATAACTCCTCAGGATTCAGGAGTTTTTGACGGTTGGATGTAAGAAATATCTGAGAAATCTAAATTTGAACCTAATAAGCCAGAAACAGGAATTCATGGATATATAATCAAAAATATAGAACTTAAACTAAATCCCATATTAATCTTTAAATTTTATTTCATTTTCAAAACCCTCCATGCCAACATACCTCGAACCAAAACTCAAAATCCAAATGTTTGGAATTAATATACAGTTATGAATGTAATTTTCAAAGGTATTAAACAAATATTGTAGATCCATAAAGTCTATCATTCTCAGTCCTAATCAGTAATTTAAGCAATGATACCTTTTTCAATAAATATTTCTATGAAAAATGAAAAAAATGTTCTTTCTATCATCAAGAATGATAAAATATAAGACAGCCAAGAAACAACGCACGGCATGTTCACCTCTGCAATTTGCAATTTTATCCAAAACACTGAAAATTTGGCCCTAAATTATTTCTGAAATGATTTTGTTGCAGTAATAAATTAGTTACAGTGATAACCAGAAAACTCTGGAAAAAGAAGACGACTTTTAGGCTCAAATTATGACTCTAGATAGTCTATGAACATGAGACACAGCATTTGTGGAGTGTAAAAAGACCCATTTCAATAAATTAGTAATCTAATACGTGTGTAGTAAAACTATTTGCTTCGTAACAACCTCATTGCTACAATGTCGTATTATTATTCCATTGTTTTCTGGTTATCACTGTTGATAATCAAAACCTTTGCTGTATTTCTAATTTAGATATAAAAAGTACAGACGACATTCAATTTGCTGTTCAATTGTTAAAATTGTACCAGGGTTTACCCACAAAGGATGAGACAATAAAGACGACTTAAATCTCTTAAACAACAACGATCCAGAAGTTAAATTAAGTCTTCTGTCTTTCCTTTCGTCTGTTTATGGATTTTAAAATGATTTAAGATAAATCTAGATAAACAAGTTAACAGTTGCAGGGAATCATGAATATACAGTGAAACCCTTAAAAACGAAAACATCGAAAGAATTCATCAAATGTCGTATTCTTCACTTTCTGATAATGGAATGTTGCAGATATTTAGTTTCTTAATTAAATGATTATATGGAACTCTTTAAAACTGTTCCCCCATATTCATGGCTATTTATTTATTTTCGCAAATACTGAAATTTACGTAATATAGTATAAAACTCATTGAAAAATTGTAAAGACGACATTTGATAAATTCTTCCGATGTATTCGTTATTAAGGGTGTCACTGTAAGAAAACAGACATCTTTGAATTCTCCTCCTTTGTAAAGAAACCGATAACTTATTCACAAAGAGAATAGAATATGTACTAGAGTGGAATTTAGGAATCCCTCGGTATGAATTTTGTCAATCCCTTTCAGTCTGACAGGGAGTTCAAAGTGTGCAAATCATGTAAATGTTCACAAATTATATGCAGTAGAGTACATTAATACAGTATGTTCCCTATACTATCCATTTCAATTTCGAATTTTTTAAAGCTGTTAAATAAACTTTATAAAATGAATTAGGTGAATAAAAACACCATTTGAAAAGGAAAATTATCGTTTGTAAAGTAAAAGGCA